AACAGCTTCTTTAGCTGCCTCGGCGGCAGCTATGTACTCAGCCTCTGTAGTCGAATCGGCGGTTGTATCCTCCTTGAAGCTCTTCCAGCTAAAAGCTCCGCCATTCAGGCAAAACAAATATCCTGCTTGTGATTTTGAATCGTCTCTGTCGGTTTGGAAGCTAGCATCAGTGTAACCGACCACCTTTAGCTCTTCCTCACCACCGTAGACCAGGAATGCATCCTTAATATTGCGAAGAAACTTGAGGATGTTCTTGACCGTTGTCCAGTGTGCTTCTCCTGGACTTCCCTGATATCTGCTGGTCACGCTTAAAGCGAATGAGACATCAGGTCTAGTACATATCATGGCGTACATGATGGATCCAATCGCAGAAGCGTATGGAACCTTCATCATGAGTTCCTTCTGCTCAGTAGTAGAAGGACTCTGGCTCTTGGAAAGAACCGTGCCAGGTGTCATAGGTAAAGATCCTTTCTTTGAGTTAGACATGCAAAATCGATCAAGGATTTTATCTATATATGTACTTTGATTCACACCTATTAACTTTCTTGATCTATCTCGGTAGATTCTTATGCCAAGGACATAACTAGCATCCCCTAAGTCTTTCATGGAGAAGTTCTCGCTCAACCACGTCTTTACAGAAGTGAGAGCGGGAATATCGTTACCCATTAACAATATGTCATCGACATATAAGATTAGGAATACTATTACACTCCCATTGACCTTCTTGTATACACAAGATTCGTCAGAGTTCTTTTCGAAACCAAAACTGAAATGGTTTCATCGAAACGTATGTACCAGCTCCGAGATGCTTGTTTCAATCCGTAGATTGAACGTTGCAGTTTACAAACTTTGGCAGATTGACCAGCAATTTGAAAACCGTCAGGCTGTGTCATGAAGACACCCTCTTTAAGTTTCCCGTTAAGGAAAGCCGTCTTGACGTCCATCTGCCAAATTTCGTAATCGTAATAGGCTGCAATTGCAAGCATTATCCGAATGGATTTCAACATAACAACTGGAGAAAAGGTTTCATCATAGTCAATTCCGTGGATTTGCCTATAACCTTTTGCTACCAATCGAGCTTTGAAGGTATGAACCTTCCCGTCTACGTCTGTCTTCTTTTTGAAGACCCACTTTCATCCAATGGGATTTACCCCTTCGGGTGCATCAACCAAGGTCCAGACTTGGTTTGTGTACATAGACTCCATTTCAGATTTCATGGCTTCGAGCCATAGATCGGATTCAGGGCATGTAATTGCCTCGAGATAGGTCTCTGGTTCGCCTTGATCTACCAACAAGATGTCACCTTCATCAAACATGAGAAATCCATATCTAACTGGAGGATTACGTATCCGGTCTGACCTACGTGGTATATCTTGAGCAGTTTGAGATTCAATTGCTTGATCTCTTTGCTCATGTTCCAACACTATCGGGACTTCTTCTTGTGGTTCTCGAATTTCTTCGAGGTCTACCTTTCTCCCACTAGTGATAGCAGAAAGAAACTCCTTCTCAAGGAAGGTTCCTTTCCGAGCAACAAAAATTTTGTTATCGGATGGATGATAGAACTCATACCCTCTAGTTTCCTTGGGGTATCCCACAAAAATTACTTTATTTGATTTAGGTTCAATCTTACTAGACGTCATGAGACGTTTTGCATAAGCTTCACAGCCCCAAATCTTAAAGTACGAGAAACTCGGTTTTCTCCCACGCCATAGTTCGTATGGTGTGCTCTCGACAGCTTTAGATGGAACTCTGTTGAGTGTGTGTGTTGCTGTTTTCAATGCATATCCCCAAAATGATTCTGGCAATGTTGTCAGACTAATCATGCTCCGCACCATGTCTAGCAAAGTCCGATTTCTCCTCTCAGACACTCCATTTAATTGAGGTGTCCCCGGAGGAGTGAGTTGGGATAAGATCCCATGCTCTTTCAGATAGTCATCAAACTCCAGGCTTAAGTATTCACCTCCTCGATCCGAGCGGAGGGTCTTAATACTTTTGCCTAATTGTTTTTCTACTTCATTCTTGAATTCTTTGAATTTCTCAAAGCATTCCGATTTGTGTTTCATGAGATACACATATCCATATCTACTAAGGTCGTCAGTAAATGTAACGAAGTAAGAATAACCACCTCTAGCTACAGTGCTAATTGGACCACAGACATCGGAGTGTATGAGGCCCAATAAGTCACTCGCCCTTTCACCGTGACCGGTGAATGGAGCCTTTGTCATTTTACCAAGTAAACAAGATTTACATACATCATATGACTGGAAGTCAAATGAATCAAGTACACCAGAACGATGTAACTTAGATATGCGTTTCTCGTTAATGTGGCCCAAACGACAATGCCAAAGGTACGCGAGATTCAAACTGTTAGGTTTGTTTCTCTTAACATCTACGTTATATATTG